ATTCACTTAATCTGTCAAATCTTCCAACCTTCAAACGTTCTTATAATCAAACCTTCAAACCTTCAAACAATCAAACATACAAACCTTCGAATAACTCATAAACTTCAAACATTCCAACCTTCAAACCTTACAATCTTCAAACCTTCATACAATTAATAAACTTCAAACATTCCAACCTTCAAATAACTCATAAACTTCAAACATTCCAACCTTCAAACCTTCAAACAACCCTACACAATGGCCTCTGCACCACAATATGTCGTCAAAGCACATTTCAACGGTGAGACATACATTTGTCCCACCGCTGGGTTTTTGTTTAGAGACACAGACAACATCCGATTTCTCTTAAACGGGAAAGCCAATTTCTTGTACTTCAAAAAACAATTGGAGGCCAAACTTGGACGAGGCCCGGTGACCCAGATATTTTATCAGAATCCAGTTTTTTTTTGGAAACAACCAAGTAATTTTTAATAAGGTTGAAGTTCAAGATGACGAGGATCTCCAGAATATGTTTTCCAGCCATGTGTATTCTGGGTACGACTCTATTGAGTTGTACATTATGCTGCGAGAGCCTCAGGTGACACAAGTGGTTGATCCTTTGGAGAATGAACAAGCTGAGGTAGATGCAGTTGATGAAGAAGAAGAAGATGACGAGTTAGAGTTTGATGAAATGGTGAATGATGATTCTGACGATGATGGCATACCTAGTATTCCTGCAAACGAGATCTACACACCACCTCCGCACATGACAAACTTAAACATGGTCGGAGATGAACCTTCTACTGACTTATTTTTCAATCCGTATATGCAGTCGGATGAAAATTTAAAAGAGAAGGACAAGTTTCGTAACAGAGAGGAATGCATCAGAGCCATAAAAAAATTCCACATGCTCAACTCGGTTGATTTTAAGGTGGACCGTGTCAACCCGGAAAGGTACAAGATCAAGTGTGTCCACCCTGACTGTATGTTCAAGCTGACTGCATCATACAGATTAAGAGGTGACTGTTGGGTCATAGGTTTCATGACTACCCACACTTGTGTAAGTTCTACCCAATCACAGGACCACCGAAAACTTAACTACGATCTCATCTGTCAAGAAATCCTACCCCTGGTCAGCAACGACCCATCTTTGAAGGTGAAAACAATCATCTCCCACATCACCACGGTTTTTAACTACACTCCGTCTTACCGTAAGGGGTGGTTAGCAAAGACTAAGGAGATTGAAAAGGTGTACGGAAACTGGGATGAGTCATACCAAGAACTTCCTCGCTACCTGAATGCACTCAAGACGTATTCTCCAGGTACTGTTTACGTTCTAGAAACAGTGCCAGCATACGCCCAAGATGGTAGTCTACTAAACGACAACGGAATATTCAGTCGAGTGTTTTGGGCATTTCAACCTTGCATCACATGGTTTGCATCATGGAAACCAATTATACAAATTGATGGGACTTGGTTGTATGGGAAGTACAAAGGCACGCTACTGATGGCAGTTGCACAAGATGGCAACAACAACATTTTCCCCATTGCCTTTGCCCTTGTCGAGGGGGAGACCGGTGGTGCTTGGAGCTTTTTTCTGAAAAATCTGCGGACATACGTGGCTCCTCAACCAGATCTCTATTTGATCTCGGACAGACATGCCTCCATTGAAAGTGCCTACAATAATCTTGCAAACGGTTGGCATGACCCTCCTTCTACGCATGTCTATTGCGTTAGGCATATCGTCTAGAATTTCACGAGGGAGATCAAGGACAAAACATTGAGGAAAGTGGTTATGAATGCGGGATATGCATTGGCACAACCCACATTCAAATATTACCGCAACGAGATCCGTTTGTCAAATCCGGAAGTCGGTAGGTGGATCGACAATATTCCGATGGAAAAATGGACTAGGTCATACGACAATGGCCAAAGATGGGGGCACATGACAACAAATCTTATTGAATCGATGAATGGGGTATTCAAAGGCATACGAAACCTCCTGATCACTACTTTGGTAAAATCTACGTATTTTAGGATGGCTGCGTTATTTGCCAAAAGAGGTGAAATATGGAATGCGGTGTTGCAATCTGGACAACTATGGAGTGAAAGCTGCATGAAATACATTAAGGCAGAAAGTGCCAAAGCCAACACTCATATACGGTTTGACCGACACAGCCACAACTTCATTGTGAAAGAGACAATCGACCACAACGAAGGCCTGCCAAGATAAAAATATAGGGTCATGCTACCTTCTCGTTGGTGCGATTGTGGCAGGTTTCAAGCATTTTGTATGCCTTGCTCTCATGTCATTGCCGCTTGTGCTCATACCCATCAAGACGCGCTGTAACTTCTGTCAAACATTTACAAATCTGAAACGTTGCTCAATGTTTACAACAACAACTTTCCTTTGGTAGCAAAACCAGATTATTGGCCTGCATACAACGGCGAAATAGTGTGGCACAATGACCAAATGCAAAGGAACAAGAAGGGTCGTCCCAAAAGTAAGCGCATCACAACAGAAATGGACGATCTTGACAAGTTGGAAAGAAAGTGTGGTTTATGCCGTCAGGTCGGACACAATCGCAAAAATTGTCCGAATCGAGCGTCTTCCTCGACCACATAAAAATTGTAATACATAAAATCTTTCCTTAATTATGTTGTAAACATTAGGGTTTTCCGTTAACAGATTTTGCTACAATAAATATTGCGCGTACAAGAAAAATTAACGATATTTCGTCTACGAAATTACAACTGTTAACACAATTTCATCTGACCCATGCATCATCAACATTACATCGCTGTCTGTTTTGACTTCCTCCAACCATACATTAGGTCTTCCTGTCGCATGTGAGGTTGTTGTTCGTTTTCGCTGGATCCTTCGAATTTTCCCCCCCTCCGCAATGTCTCCATCTAGCCATCGCATCAACTCCCGCTTCAGACGCTCCATGGAGTGAATGTGCAAGAATTTCATTTTCATCACAGATTTCGTGGCAGAGAAGATAACGTAACCATCTCTGCTAAAAATCATGGGCGACGTCATGACGCAAATAACAGAGTAAAAAATAAAAATACAGTGCGAGAAAGTGTGCAAAATTTCGGAGAAACAAATGAATTATTTATAAAATAGCATTTTGCCCTAGTTTTGCCGTAGTTTTGTCCTAGGAGTCAAATAGATGACGCCTCCTCTCACTTTTAAGGTGCATGCGCCATCTCAATTGACTAAAAGTGAAGGGAGACGCCAAGTGAGATGGCGCCTAGGGAAAATCTAAGGGTGGAGGCGCTAAGTGAGATGGCTCCTCCTTTGAGGAGTCATCCGAAATATGGTTATTTGCGTAATTTTTTCTGAAACGCGGTTATTTACGAAATATTATTTTAATACTTGATTATTGTAAAAAAAAAATCGTGAAACAGACTTAATTTTAAAATGAAATTATTCGTTATAATCAAATATTTGAATAGAATTAAAGAGATTGGACTTTTTTTGGATTAAATTGGTTTTTGTCCACAAACTCTATAATCAAAACCATGGACAGTTTTCTAATAACCGGAGGCTGGTTTTTTCATATGTATTGCCCATGTCACATTGCTGATCAACTATCCAAATAAAGACAAAAAGATAAATGTATGCCACAATTATAAAAAATGTATATTTCCTAGATGACACATCTGTCTTTTTAGTCTATTTAATAATGTCGGTTACTAAAGACAATAACTGTCCTATCAAAATGCTTTTCAGAAATATCAACTTTGAATTTCAAAGTTGCCGGCCGTTATCGTGACTTTTTTTTTCACCCTTCTTTCTTTAATAAAAACATGGTCAATACACTCGAGAGCGTTTGAAGAGATGAAATGTGTCTCTTCTAGTTAAATTAGAGATTTCGGTCTGATCTCTGTTCTAAGAATGTTTTACGGTTGCGCGTAAAAAATATGTCTGATTAATATTTAAAAAAATATGGCTAATACTGTGTTGGTTAAATATATAGTTTTTCAATGATTTTATTGAAAGTTTGAATTTTTTATTTATGTAAGAATTTAATTGAAATACACTGGTGATATAATTTTTTTTTATATTTTCAATAAATTATAATTATTAAATTTTTATAAAATTTTGATTTTTTTAAAAATTATATATGAAATATCACTTGTAAATAATTGTGATTCAGTAATCATATAAAATATTTTATATTAACAGGACATAACAATTATTCTCTTGATGCAATATGTAGAAATATTAATTGAAAGAAGTCAATTTTTAATTAATTCCATTATTAGTTGCAAATATATAATTGTTTTGGATTGAAAATCAAATATAAATTCATAGATACAATTATGGTTTTCAAGAATCAACTCTCCAAGGTGTTGTGGGGGACACTGAACCTAACCAGAAAAAATTCTTTAGTTGAAATATTTTATTATATTTTTTGTAAGTAAAATAAATGAGTGATGACTTGACTTCCCTTTATCCCTACTGGTATGATCAATAAATGATTGCAATTTGCAAAGCATGAATCTGTCCAATTATATTTTATCATAATTATCTTTATTTAACAATACAATAGTCGTTATTAATACAGGTTTATGGCTTCACAAAGAGATAAGCACAAGACCTATAAAACGACCCGTGAACAAACAATAAAAATACCTACAAAAACAAAAAGCCAATATAAGAAGAGAAAATGCAAAGCTTGAAACATAAAGAGTTTCTTCTTAAAGTCACAAATAAATTTTAATATTTCAATGGTCACTTCTGTTCCAGGTGAGAGAAACAAGTATCAGAAGAGTTCATGGCTTAGACACCACCATTTTCTTTCGGAGAATTTAACGTGGTTGTTCTTTTTGTTTGATCCAATGATGATACATGTCGCTCTCACCTGGAGCAAAGCTGCCCAATGCTTCATAACAACATGATGGAATTAAGATGCTGCCGTCAAATTCATTAACTTAGCTTTATCTCTAAATTGGTGAGTTTGTGTTTCCTTGCTTGTTTAGATCTTTTTGTTTTGGAAAGGTCTTCATTTTCAAGGTTTTAAATAAAGGTCAAAGTCACGTTGCACCAAAAACTTAGCGATTTCGATTAATACAAATAGTGTGACAGTAATTGGGTCTTTGCACTTTAAATTTACCACAATTTGTTTTCTCATTACAAAAGCTGTTACCACAATTTGTTTTCTCATTACAAAAGCTGTAAATAACAGTATTACTATCAACGTTATTCAATGTTGTTTTGCTACAGTCATTTTAATGGTATTTTATGATTTTTTTAGAATTTCTTCATCTTAACTTTATAATATTCTGACCAAATATTATTTGATTCATAAAAAAAATTTCATTTAACTCTCTACACTTCATGAAACATTTTAGATGCATTTTTCGATCAAATTTTCTTAAGAATTGGGAGTTCTGAAAAGGAAGAACCTATTATTATGTAAACATTAGTTTAAAAAATATGTGTTCTTACTTTTGTGTTTTATATCGATTAATACACTTTTAGTTAATGCTCCAACTTTAGTTCTAGTAATTTAAGAACAAATTAAATTAATTTGCTTAATTAATGTGTTTGTTCTGAAATTAAGATTTATGTATGTGTATGTTTAAACATGTGTTAACACGTTAGACAAATGGAGTAGTTGTATAATTACCATATTTTAATTTTGTCTCGACTTTTTTTAAAATGGTAGGCAATCAGCTTTATTGCATTTAAAATAAAATTTTAGTCTTCGAGTAAATCTTTTCAAGTTTGAATCTGCGCCGAACAATTTTACAAAATTACAGTGTGTGTAAGTCTTTTTAGTATGTTAATTTAATTTTTTCAATTTAGTGTGCGTTTGCATTTTGATCGATATGAGCTTTTTTATCTGGATGTTTTTAATTGTAATATTGATTTGAATCGACCTATAATGTAGAACTTTATTATGTAGAGTTTAATTCAGTAGATTTATTTTATTTTTTCGGCCTTGCATTGGTTTACATTTTATTTGTTTCAATTCATTTTAATTTTTTATTTGAAAAAATTTAAAAACAAAATATTTCATTTTATGTTTATTTTTATCTTTTTTTAGTTTTCATTCAAATTTACAATAAAAAAATAAAAAAAAATGTTTCATTTATTAAATTTGAAGTGTTTTTGTAAAAAGATCAACTTATTTGTATTTGAGACCCATTTGATTATTTTATAATGTCTAGGATATTTTTGCCTTTAAAGCAACATGATAAGAGTATTTCCCACAAAGGAACTTAGAGATTGTTTAGCCTTTCCATTTCTTTTTTTTATTTTATGAATGGAGTCTGATGAAGTGGCAACATTGATTGTTTATATTTAGGTGATGAAATTTCGTAAAATAATTTGTAAACATGAGAATTTAATATTAAATATTATTATTTTTAAAGCAATTCAATTGAAATAATGATGTAAGGTGGTTGTCAATTGTAGTGTAAATGTAATAATATAAATTGAAGTGTGTAAATGTAATAATATAAATTGAAGTTAAATACATATTGTTTATTTATAAGAGTTTGCTAACATGTGTCCTTAAGACACGTGTTAAGAAGTACTATAATTAAAAAAAATTAAATACAATTAAATATAATTAAATATAATAAAATTATATTTAAAATTTTAAAATATTAAATATACGTGTTTCAAGAAAATATTCCTACAAATAATCTATTAGTCACACACTCATCTCTATTTCCTACCCTACTTCACTCTCTCTATCAACCACACACTCCACTATGTTTTCTCTTCCACCTTAAACTCGCCGTAAATTCACCTTTTCGTCCGACCACTTAAATCGCGGCCACCACAACATCATTTCTGGTGCCTCAAACCACCCTTTGCGCCACTATTTCCACGGTCTCATTCTCCTTTCATCCTATCTTACCCTTTCATTATCAGTTTCGCTGAACCACAACAAACACCATTTCCTCTGCATTTTCAACGCAACTGAACACCAAATTGAGCATCTCATTACCTCCGAGATCTTCTTCAGTTGCAACATATCCTTTCTCACTTCATCTCCTAACAACCTCCAAATCGGTTCCGTCGCCATCACTCAAAGTAACACACTCTCAACTACCGCGCACGACTGACGCCGGAGTTCAAGTTTCATACGCCTCTTTGTTGTTAATATGTTGGTTTAACAACATTGCTCTAGTGAAATGATAAAACTGAATTGGAACTTTTTGTTAGAATAATATAGCAAGTGTGAGTAAATGGGGAAATAGTCCCACATTAGATAGGAATACAGAGACTTGAGCATATATAAGTGGGAGAATCCACTCACCTATCACCTTAAGATTTTAGGTGGATAAGTGGTGTGTCTCTCACAAAGGTGCCTAGTCCTACACTATGTATCAATGCTCCTAGTACCCCCCCCCCCCCCCAACAAATGGTATCAGAGCCTTTGATCCGAGAAAGAGACCAGAAGAGACTTGTATCGAAATGCGCCCAGGAAGTGGTGTTCCGTTGCAAGATGTCAATGGCGGTACAAGTGGAGGAGCATTGTGGACTCACACTTGAGGGGGGGGGGGGGGTGTTGGAATAATATAGCAAGTGTGAGTAAATGGGGAAATAGTCCCACATTGGATAGGAATGTGGAGACTTGAGCATATATAAGTGGGAGAACCCACTCACATATCACCTTAAGGTTTTAGATGGATAAGTGGTGTGTCTCTCACAAAGGTTCCTAGTCCTACATTATGTATTAATGCTCCTAGTATCCCCCCAACACTTTTAGAATATGTTTGGCAGTACAGGAAGTTGATTGCAATTCGTTATGCAATTCAAGCTTTTTCCAACATCATTATGCAACAAATCTACCCAAAGAAGTTTTTGTACATCGACAAACAACAGTAACTCAGCCACCGCGAGCTTTCAATATCCATGACCAATTTTTCCTACAAAATGTAAAGCTCCGCATCATCAAATCTGTCTATCTATCTATCTATCTATCTATCTATCTATGTATCTGTCTATCTATCTATGTATCTGTCTATCTATCTATCTATCTATCTATCTGTCTATCTATGTATCTGTCTGTCTATCTATCTATGTATCTGTCTATCTATCTATATATCTATCTGTGTATCTGTCTATCTATGTACCTGTCTATCTATGTATCTGTCTATCTATCTATCTATCTATGTATTTGTCTATCTATCTATCTATCTGTCTATCTGTCTATCTATGTATCTGTCTATCTATCTATCTATGTATCTGTCTATCTATCTATCTATCTGTCTATCTGTCTATCTATGTATCTGTCTATCTGTCTATCTATCTGTCTATCTGTCTATCTATGTATCTGTCTATCTATCTATGTATCTGTCTATCTATCTATCTATCTATCTATCTATATGTCTATCTATCTATCTATGTATCTGTCTATCTCTCTATCTATCTGTCTATCTATCTATGTATCTGTCTATCTCTCTATCTATCTATCTATCTATCTATCTATGTATCTGTCTATCTCTCTATCTATCTGTCTATCTATCTATGTATCTGTCTATCTCTCTATCTATCTATCTCTCTATCTATCTGTCTATCTATCTATGTATCTGTCTATCTCTCTATCTATCTATCTATCTATCTATCTATCTATCTATCTATGTATCTGTCTATCTCTCTATCTATCTGTCTATCTATCTATCTATGTATCTGTCTATCTCTCTATCTATCTATCTATCTATCTATCTATCTATCTTTCTGTCTGCCTTATCTATGTATTTATCTGCTTGTCTTATTTATATATCTATCTATCTTTCTGTCTGCCTTATCTATCTATTTATCTGCTTGTCTTATTTATCTATCATTCTATCTATCAATAGATCTATCTATCTATCTATCTATCTATCTATCTATCTATCTATCTATCTATCTATCTATCTATCTATCTATCTATCTATCTATCTATCTATCTATCTATCTATCTATCTATCTATCTATCTATCTATCTATCTATCTATCTATATATCTGTCTGTCTGTCTGCCTTATCTATCTATCAATCTATTTATCAATCAAGCAATCTATCTATCTATCTATCTATCTATCTATCTATCTATCTATCTATCTATCTATCTATCTATCTATCTATCTATCTATCTATCTATCTATCTATCTATCTATCTATCTATCTATCTATCTATCTATCTATCTATCTATCTATCTATCTATCTATCTATCTATCTATCTATCTATCTATCTATCTATCTATCTATCTATCTATCTATCTATCTATCTATCTATCTATCTATCTATCTATCTATCTATCTATCTATCTACCTACCTACCTATCTATCTATCTATCAATCTATTTATCAATCAATCAATCAATCGATCTATCTATCTATCTATCTATCAATCTATCTATCAATTAATTAATCAATCAATCGATCGATCTATCTATCTATCTGTCTATCTATCTATCTATCTATCTATCTATCTATCTATCTATCAATTAATTAATCAATCAATCGATCGATCTATCTATCTATCTGTCTATCTATCTATCTATCTATCTATCTATCTATCTATCTATCTATCTATCTATCTATCTATCTATCTATCTATCTATCTATCTATCTATCTATCTATCTATCTATCTATCTATCTATCTATCTATCTATCTATCTATCTATCTATCTATCTATCTATCTATCTATCTATCTATCTATCTATCTATCTATCTATCTATCTATCTATCTATCTATCTATCTATCTATCTATCTATCTATCTATCTATCTATCTATCTATCTATCTATCTATCTATCTATCTATCTATCTATCTATCTATCTATCTATCTATCTATCTATCTATCTATCTATCTATCTATCTATCTATCTATCTATCTATCTATCTATCTATCTATCTTTCTGTCTGCCTTATCTATGTATTTATCTGCTTGTCTTATTTATATATCTATCTATCTTTCTGTCTGCCTTATCTATCTATTTATCTGCTTGTCTTATTTATCTATCATTCTATCTTCTTATTTATCTATCATTCTATCTATCAATCGATCAATCTATCTATCTATCTATCTATCTATCTATCTATCTATCTATCTATCTATCTATCTATCTATCTATCTATCTATCTATCTATCTATCTATCTATCTATCTATCTATCTATCTATCTATCTATCTATCTATCTTTATATCTGTCTGTCTGTCTGCCTTATC